TTGCCAGCCAGCATGCTGGCTGGAGAGTTCTAGGAGTTGAAGTCCACACATCTCAAAGTTGCCAAGGTTGAGAAACACTGGGTTGGGCTGAGAAATCATGACTAGCCCCAAATTACCTAATGAGTTTCTGTGGCTGAGTGAGGAACTGAAGCAGGCCTCCCAGGTCTTAGGCCAACATCTTACCCACTTTACTATGCAGACCTCCTTAATTCCTTAGTTTCCGAACAGTCTGTTCTGGGTTTCACTATCCTATGCTTAAGCCCTCCCTTATATTTTGTTGACAGTGCTGTTGAGTGCCTCTTCCTTCCCAAGCTCCTGGAGTATTATAAAAAACCCTTAGTCTTATTTGGGGAACACGCATTGCTCCTTTTGTGTTCATATCTTGCTTCATCTGGAAATGATATGTCAGATGGACACTTTATTTTCCAAGCAGCAAAGAAAACAACAGAGCTGGAGCGCTGGCAATATGACAAGACCCTGAAGTAGACTGGTGGGAGATTTACTCATTGTCATCCCCCTTTCCTGCTCCTTGCAAGGATCTATCATTTCAGTCCCCCAAGATGATTCTTTCTCAAAGAGATGTTTATTTAATCTCCTTGGCTATATATCCGGCATCCTTCCACCACAGTTCAATTACAGTACCTGATTTTTTACCAGCATGGCAGTGTCCACAAACATGTCATGAAGCTCCTTGATGCTATTCTCAAGTCGCAGAATATCCTTATGCTGTCCCTCAATCTCACTCAGCGCTTGCTTTGAGATCTGGGAATCCATGATCTAGAGAAGACCCAAAGACCGTTGCATGGAAACGCCTTTTCTGCAATGATATTAGGCAATATTCTGCATAGGAGTTTTCATATACTTCCTTTTGCCCCAGCTCAGCTTCTCCCTTTGGACATATCTTTTCATTTTCATTTCCTGCCCAACTCATTTACCCTTCTATTGCTACAATCAATACCACTTAATGCCATGGGGGGGGAAAAAACCCAAACCATCCTTTGTGCAAACCATAAGCATTTCCTGGCATTCTGGATCCTTAAGTTCATCCTTATGAAACCCATCAGCCTATTGCACATACACACTCACCCCAGATGTGAATATTGATGGATTCCCGCTCTCTAGCATTTCCTCTGGCTCTTCATCTGTTGTATTTTTCCCAGCTGTATCCCAGGGAGAAGAGAGGGAGAAAACCAGAATGTCAATTATTATAATATGAATGAACATGTTCATGCA